AAATTATTTTTTAAAAAGTTAAAAAATTAAGCTTATTTATATAAATATTCCTATATACCAGAAAAAAAACTCAAATAGTACATTAAATCAATATTATTTTAGCAAATTGGTTTAATCTGAAAATTCAGTTTGTTAGAACGATAATACCATCATACCTTAGGAACGATAAAATCATCGTTCCTTAGGTACGATAATACCATCGTCCCTAAGGAATGATAAAACCATCGTCCCTAAGGAACGATAATACCATCGTTCCTAAGGAATGATAAAACCATCCCTAAGGAATGATAATACCATCGTTCCTTAAGTACGATAAAATCGTCATACCTAAGAAATGATAAAACCTAAGGAATGATAAAATCGTCGTACCTAAGGAACGATAAAACCATCGTTCCTTAGGTATGATAATACCATCGTCCCTAAGGAATGATAATACCATTGTCCCTAAGGAACGATAAAACAATCGTACCTAAGGAATAATAATACCATACTATTGTTCCTTAGGTATGATAAAACAATCGTTCCTTAGGAACGATAAATGCATCATACCTAAGGAATAATAAAACTATCATTTCTTAGGTACGATAATACCATTGTCGATAAAATAATCGTCCCTAAGGAACGATAAAAACAATCATTCCTTAGGAACAATAAAACTATCGTTCCTTAGGTATGATAATATCATTATCCCTAAGGAATGATAAAACCATCATTCCTTAGGTATGATAATACTATCGTCCCTAAGGAACGATAAAACCATCGTCCCTTCCAAATAATAATACCCTATCGTTCCAATCAGACGTCAATTGGTTATAAATAAGATAGGTTGAATTTTGATATATACCAATCGGCTATAAATAAGATAGGTCGAATTTTGGCCGATTTCTGATATATGCCAATTGGCTAGGCTGATTTTGATAATTTGCCGAATTTAGGCTGATTTTCGCATGTCTGATTTTTTTGATTTCGACTAGTGAATACCCTCTCCTACAGTTTGATAGAACAAGGGGGGAATAATATTTTTTTGATTAAAGATATAGGCTCATATAGTAAAGTATGAGATTTAATATCAATTTGCACAATATGGAAAGTTTAGATGAAATTATAGAAAATGCAAATAAAAATATTAAAAAAGTGTTTCTAGTAGGGGTTGCACCTGAATTTTGACAAGAAGCCTATATAATTAGTCTTAAATTAATATTGGATAGATTGGTACGAGAGTTAGAGTTTGCGCAAAAAGATGATTATTCTTCTGAGCCAGTCAGTCTAGAACAGTGATCATTAGCTTCAGAAGATTTTTTGCTGGGCCACAAACATCAAGTCAGTTATTTTTTCTTTGTTATAATAAATTAAATATATTAACATAACTATAACGCAGGCCAATGATCAATATAATGCAAAACGATTGATCCAATTTAGAGAAGTTCTAATGTTGTATGGAAAAGGAAGAAAAAATACCATATCCAACACAATGTGGTAGCTCTGTAAGCGAATATATTAAAATGATAAAGTTACATGCTATTGGCGTTGGTGAGGATTTAGATAGTATAGACATCAAAGTGAAATTTATTTGTGGATTATCACCTGTCAATGAAAAGCGTATGCATGAATTTGGGGTTAAAAAACTTTTGTCTGAAATATTCAAACATTTACTTAAGTCTTTTACTAATTTAGCTAGTCTAGAGCAGTGATCACCAGCTCAGAAGATTTTTTGCTGAGCCACAATGCATAAGCAGATCTGTGTAATGATTAACCTTATTTTTTCGATTGAAAGATATTCTAACCATATAAAAAAAATGCATACAGCTAATTTGCTTGATCAACTTCCGCCTGAATTAATACTCTTTATTCCCTTCTTCAGTCAAGACCTTCAGGAGATAGCTTATCCTGTTAGGTTTTCTTTTTTCGAACTATAGTGAGAAAAAGGGGTTATTATCAAACCACCGAAAAAATGTGAAATGTTTGTAAGAAGATCAGATATAAGTTTACTCTTGCAGAGAATAAAGATTAGCTAAATAAACAGGTCATACATCAGTTAATATACAAGCCTCTGTGAATGATTGTTCGTCCATTTCGATTTAGGCTGATCTGGAGTAGTAATAGTCAACTCAGGAGATTTTTTTGCTGAACCACAGATTGTGTGACAAAAAATAAGTGGATCATCAGTCAGGTCTTGTATGACATATTAATTTTCACATATAACGAAAAGAAAATATATATGCTAATCAGTATATCTATTTTTTTCCCTAAACAAATGTGAAAAAATGTGAAAGGAGATCTAGTTGCAACACAGAACCTACTGTAAAAGTAAATATTAACGTCAAAAGCATATGTTATGAAGAGCTGAGGACTTTGTAATTTCAAGATCTACAAGAACTAACTACCTTTGCGTCTCTCTGGTAGATCTACATATGAAAAGGTATGAGGATTTCGTTTACATGTGTTTTTGCTTTAGCGCCTTCAGCTATAGAACTCTTGGCATCAGACGACAATACTAATTATGCCTCATACTTCTTTAACTTTTTTCCCGGCAAGATATAAAGCATGTAGGGGTATGTGGAAGTTCAGCCAACTTTTCGCAAAAAACATTCCTACGTAAAAAATAACGCAAAATAAGGTATGTATAGTATATGTTCTTTAATGCGAGTGGGTCAAGCAATTTTCTCACTATTGGATTCTTGCATTTAGGAGTCGAAATGGACGATAACAATATTACTATCAATTGTCTTATCGTTCCTATAGGAAAACTTATGAATATTCCATGCATTAAAGTAATGTAATCGATTATAATTCGCAGAGGTGGTAGTTATAGTGATCTCAAAACTGCGATTCAAAGCAGATTGGGGGCACTATTTAATCAAATCCCTCTCAAAATTTGTATAATTCAAGCCGGAAGCACTATTGAAAAGGAAATTAACATGCATAAGGATTTTATTGATATTTTTACTGAGGAACCTAAAGCAGAGCACTTCCATTTCACTGTTTACCCCAAATAATTTTCTGTATCATGTAGCGCTATAGTCACAATTTTTATGTAATGTAGGCCAGCTTCTGGTAAGGTTTTTTATTTTTTAAATAAAGAATATATTACATTCTTATCGTAAATCTTGAAAAATATCATGTGTAATGATATAATGCCTGTGCGATATAAAATTATATATTAACGCCTGACTTTTCCAGAAATAAATTTTACCTCACTCTGAAACGTAACACTATTTTTTTTTATCTGAGCCTATTTTCACTATAAAATATCTGAAATAGTAGATACACCTACTTCCACCTCTATTACTGTTGCTGAAAATGAGATGGTCTCGTTGGCAGACGAAATAAAAAAATATGATACAGAGAAACTTATTTCTTTTTTGCAGGAACGGGACTTAAGGCTAGACTTGAACGATGAAAATATTATTCGCAAAGAGAAGATTACAGGCCAGGGCTTCTTTGACTTGACTGAAGAAAGGCTTCGCAGTGTTGGCTTAGGCTTGGGATCTGCTATGAGACTCGTGAAGTTCGCTAAGGAGTGCAAGGATAAAAAGTTGAAGGCCTTTTTAACATACTGCAGTTTGAAAGAAGTTCTGGCAAAATATGACCTCGCTTCTGAGGGCACAGAAATTATATCCCTTTTTATACCACAAATCCACGAAATCTGAGATGACAATAAGCACTTTGAATTATGTATGGCTGATATCAAATTACGACTTCAGAGTTATGGAACGTTGGTGATGACAAGCTTGGAGTCCAGATGTAATGAGTACATTTCAAATATACTATATACTGCCCTTCGTATCGCAGAAGATGCCACGAAAAAGAAATTTAGCATGAGGCCTAAGTACAAAATAATTGGAGATAAAAGTTGTGGGTGGGTCGATTATGCAATCAAGGTAAGCCTTGTATTTTTTTTACCGTTCCTCCTATATATTACTAGATTCTATGTGGTCTTAAAGGAACCTATTAACTTACTGCAAAATATAAATGAGTAGGAGTCTGAAGAACTTATTTGCATCACAGAAGATAAGGTCTAGCAAAAATTAACAAAAGGCTTCGCTTAGAATATCAAGCAACTTGAAAGTTCGTTTCAAACGAACAAGAGAAAATGAAAGCGTGATGAGGACTATTTTGACTATTTGTACGGGGTTGTGACATCTGCCAGGGATTGGCATTTTCTCTTTTATTTTCCAGGTGAAATTTTACAGTCGAATAAGGTCCTCTTTAGCATCGAATTTGTCGAAGAGGCTCTGGTTGAGAACTCTGAAGAATATAAAATATTGCGTAAAGGTGTTAAGAAGCTTTTAGGTATAATCATTAGCTTGTTGAAAGATAGGGCATGTGTGGAGGATAAATTGGATAGAAAGAGAGCAAAGATAAAGGAATATCGTTCAAAAAATAATCATGTATATTAGCCTAGACATCATGTATCCTGGGCTACGTCCTGAACATTTGTATTTATTTTTCGCATATAATAATAAAAAAAAAATTGAATTTTACAGGTATATATGATAAGCGAAAAAAATATATAGTCATAGAACTGCCATTCCAAGACTATAAACAAGCATCTGGTTTGTACTTTGAAGGGGCTAAATCTGGGTGATGGAGGAATTTCATGAGTGCGTCATTTCTCCAAGTTTTCATCTTTTCTTGCTTTCAAGTTAATCCTATTAGTATGAACAAGTTATCACTGGAATAATTCATTTGGATTAGATTCTGAAGTGAAGATTGTTTATTTTTTTTCAGGATAAATAAACTCATTTCTCTTACAATTGCAGATTCTACACTAATAGGAAAGTTTTTATGAATATCCGCTCTACTCGCTAAAATAGATAGAGGTGGAATTAAAGCTGGGTGGTAGAAGTCTACTAAAGGATCCAATTTGAATTCGCCAACATGCATAATCCTAATATCTTCTAAATAATCTGAAAGTCTATCAGCATATTTATAACCTTTACAAATCAACTTCCAGAATAGCTTTCCTTTTGGGTTGATCCATCGGTCTGACAAAATATTGAGTACTGTTTTTTGTATATCCATAGAAATGTAAGTAGTATGATGTGGTATATATTTTTTATTTATGTTATACTTTTTTCACCCAAGTTTAATTCGGATTTTTCCATTTTGAAATTCGAATTCTATAATGTGAAAGGTGCAAGAATATAATAAATGGATCGTTTTACCTGCCTCACATTAAAAAAGATGAAAGTATTTGTAACTGTATTTGCACTCGCTTGGCGGGATGCTCGCTTCATTGGAAATCAGTTACAAATAAATTGTTAAAATCTCCTTGTAGAATATGCGATAAATCTACATTATCTTATATGGGTTATTGCTTCAAGCATGCCAAAAAAATTTATTGTCGCCTCGAAAGAGAGAGACAATGAATAAGTTTCTTGACTTAAGTCAAATGCCTACTTGTATGATGGTCGTAAACCCTATTAATAAAAAAATTTTCTTGGCAAAAGAGATCTGCGTTCAAAATTGAAACGGACACGTGACTTTTTTTATTTTGAATGCTTGTATAAATGTGTTATTAAAGATAGAATCTGAGATTGACTTACTTAAGCAAGAAAATACTAGACTTGTGGCCAAAAATTATGAGCTCGAAGCTGAGATCATAAAGCTGAATCAGATTATTGAGGAGAATGTCAGACGTGATGTTAGGGTCAAAGAACTAGAGTAAAAAAATACAGAGCTTGAGGCCAGACTTGTGTCATTAGAACAGGCTTCCTTGATAGTGGATAGACAGCCACAAAATGATAATGAAATAATATCAGAGGATTACCAGAGGTATCCGTACCAGCTGTTAATGTATTTAAATTTGTAGTAGACCAGCAAAATAATGTTAATACTAAGTCAACGGAGAATAAGATAATAGATGATTGTTTGCTTAAGCAAACACTGATACCAGAGGTGTTACCAGAGATAACTGATGTACACGATGTTTGCTGAAAGCAAATCCAGCTTGAGCAGTGTAAGCCTGATAGCAAAACAAATAATACAGTACCAGAGGTAAGTGTGTCTACCAGCCCTCCATTTTGTGAAGAGGATAGGAAGACCGATAAATTCTTAAACGCAGTATATAAGAAGAAGGTTGGCAATGAGATTAGGCAAGAAAGCGGGAGAAAAAACTTTAAGATAATTTGTCACCAGAGGTAACTTTCCAGAGAGAACCAGATTCAGAAACACTCGTAGCTTCTTTAGATTCTGCTATTCCTTTGAATGAAAAAAATGGACAGGGTTGTTCTTCTTTTCCTCAATCAGAGATTTCGCAAAATAAGAAGAATACTCAGTTTTCAGAAAATTCTAATAACAGTCTATTATCTAAACTATGTAATGCTTTTTCTAGCTTCGAATGTGATGAGAAGGTGAGGAAAATTTCCTATAATCTGAAAGTAGAACAAGACTTGAGAGACGAGTTATCTGCTTACATAGAAGGCAAGGAATCCACTTCACAGAGTGGAAATAAAATATTTGATATACAAATTCTCAAATTCTCCTTAGAAGTAATCCTGATAGGATCTAATAAAGTTACATCACAAGTTATAGTTGATCTATTTAATATAGCAATGAAGGCCAGACAAAAGGAGATCTTATGCTGGTATTGTTACTATAAGGCGTA